TGCAACTTCATGTCAACTAACTTTGACATGTCAACTAACATGTCAACAGACAGTATTAGTAGACTGTCTGCTTAATATCCGCTTACTCTATATTGTGATGGTCCTCTAACAGACATACTGACTATAAGTAACTTTGCAAGTAGGCCTACATGTCAACTCATTCTAACCCTAACAGTCTACTAATACTATAATGAGAGTTAGTAGACATGTAGGTGCAACTTTACTTATAGTCAACATAATGTGTTAAAGGAACCAACAAAATAAAGTGAAACCGGATCTTTTAGGGTTGTTGGTTGTGAAAAATGGCAGGAAATTCATAGGGTGGGAAGGAGTTGACATGTAAAGCGGTTATCAGAATGGGTCTTAGTCTCAATAAACACTTGCACACTGCCCTCATAAAGCTGTCATCAAACACTTAAGCACATGACAAGGGAAAACATGCACTTTGTCCTTAACTGTGATCATTTAGTTAGGAAGCAGCACTTCACTGAATGAAAATCATAGCAAACCAGCGCCTCCTAGTGTCAGGACTGACACATTTACTGTAATAAAAGTGTCAGACATTTCACCAGAGGCTTGGAGAGGTCTCACTGCGTAGCTCTGGCTTTTGAAAGCCTATAGTACTGACACAATTACCCCCAGCTAAACCTGCCATACGAGCACAGTATGGTAGCCATATGCATGTTTTCTAGGCCCGTGGCCCAGTTGCAGTAGCTGACCCACTTCACATCACGATAGTGCCATAGGGGTCTTTCAGAGATGAAGGTGTGTGTATGTTGGAAAAGGTGCATGGAGATGATTTATGAGGCTTTCTCTCCGCAAGGCCTGTTGGAAGAGCAAAGCAGACTTAAAAGACTTTGCCCTGATATCTCCCTAAACACAGCCCTGATATGCCAACACATTCTCATCCTTTGGCGTCATATAGGTGACGCCATATGACATTTCGTCGAAATTTTACGCACATAGCATCCTTTAGCGTCAATATAACACGCACTGTTATGGGTAAGGTTTAGGTCTGGGGTAGGGTTACGGTTATGACGCCTTGGACTCTGCGTCTCATAGTGACGCTAAAGGTTGCCATGTGTGTCGGATTTAGACGAGCGTCACCGTATGAGCCTTGGGTTCTGCGTCTCATATTGACGCTAAAGGATGCCATGTGCGCAAGATTTCGACGAAATGTCAAAACCGTCACATGTCTGACGCCTTGGGATGAGAACGGGCTGGATATGCTGCTAAACTTTTTTCAACGAATCTACAATTGGATTAGGAACTTGTTGATTTCCTTAAAGCTCAGTGATATAACAGCATAATCCTAGCTGAACGTGTCTCTACTATCTGGGCTGGAGGAGGTGGGTGACCCTTATGGCTCTTTACACCAACCATCATGAACAAAACAGATTTCCTGCCCTCCGCTCTCTTTCTCTTCTTCTACTGCAGGCCATTGAGAAATTAATACTAGAAAGGATGTATTAAAGGGACAGTTTAATTTCAACAAAATTTCTGTCATCACTTACTCACCCTCATGTTGTTCCAAACCTGTATGACTTTCTTTCTTCAGTTGAACATAAAATAAGATATTTTAAAGAATGTTGGTAACCAGACAGTTGACAGCACACATTGACTTCCATAGTATTTTTTCCCCTACTATGGAAGTCAATGGCTACTGTCAATTGTTCGATTATCAGCATTCTTTTAAAGATCTTCTTTTGTGTTCAACAGAAGAAAGAAACTCATACAGTTTCGGAACAACATGAGGTGAGTAAATGATGACAGATTTTTTTTTTCAGGGGGGGATGAACTAACTCTTTAAATTGATCAAATTGACAGTAAACACTTTTACATTGTTACAAAAAAGCTATTTTAAATAAACGCTGTTCTATTCCTAAAAGAATCCTGAAAAAAATGTATGACGGTCTTCACAAAATATTAAGCAGCACAACTGAAAAGTTTCTTGAGCACCAAATCAGAATATTAGAATAATTTCTGAAGGATCATGTGACACTGAAGACTGTGATGATGCTGAAAATTCAGCTTTGATCACAGCAATATATTACATTTCAAAACAAAATAGAAAAGTTATTTTAAATGGTCAAATTTCACCATAATACTGTATTTTTGACTGAATAAACGCAGCCTTGGTGAGCATGAGACTTATGACAGACCACAAACTTATGAATGGTAGTTTAAATGATATTAATAACTGTTCGAATGAACAGACAATGAGTTATACACAGACTTATTGAAACGAAACCTTATTTTTCACATTTCAAAATTCACACACACCGATATAAGCAATAAATGAAAAATACACATTTCTAAAATGCCTTGCCCCATTACTGTAAAAGCAATTGGTCTCTACAAACTGAGGCATGAGTCAAAATTATTTGCTATGGTAAATCAACATTTGAAACCTTTAAAGCCATAGTAGTAGTAATTCACGGTAAGTAGGGATGTCCCGATACCACTTTTTCACTTCCGATACCGATACCGATGCCGCAGCTTTGGCTTTTGCCGATACCGATATTAATCCGATATTTTTATTTTATTCTTAAACTAATAAAAAATATAGCAATTTTCTCAATTAGCCACCTAAAATATACCTCCTATATAGTCCACAACAACAGTTGATTATGAAATATTGCCACCCTTTATTCAAACACTACAAAAAAATAAAGAAATATATAAATGAAAGAAAATACAGGTACTTCAGTACTTAAAGCTAGCTAGCTACCAACAGGTTTAAAGTTAAAACAATTTAAACAGCAGCATTCTACATTGTAAATACCAGTACAGTTTTTGTTTTTTAAATCAATTAGAATTTCTATAACTGTGTGTTAAACTGATTATCACTCTTGTGTGTGTTAAACACAATCTACTTAATACAGACAGCTTCATTATAAAGATAAACAACAAATCCCCAAAATATATGATCATAATCTATGACAAAAATGCTATTATAAACTAGATTAGTGGATAATACACATTGCTCTTTTTATTGTTGTAAAATACATTCATGAAAAACAAGATAACAAAAATGAAAAAGATAATTATTTTAGATATAGCTAAATCTGCTATAAAATTGAGATGTTTTAAGTGTATTGCACAGCTATTTAATGAGGCAGCAACATTAATAATTATTAATGTTAATAAGCTTTAATTGCGTCAATGCATTATGATATGAAAGGCTCCAATACAGTGCGGCACAAAGCGCTTATGCGCATCCCGAGCGGAGAATGATGCGCTTGAAGCCACGTGGAGTTCCAGCACGCAGCGCGTCGAGTCCGCTTTGAAAAGTTCAAAGCACAACGGAGATACATATTGATGGACAGTGTATTATACAGTATCTATCTATGCAATCGTTTATTGAGCCTTTTCTTTTAACAGTTTTAAATTTCAGTTACTGTGCGCGTGAAGAACAATTATAGTGCTCTGACTCTAGTGTTGTGATCAAACTGACAGCGTCCGACACCCGGTAGAGGGTAACACGATTGAGTTACAGCAATAAAGTCCAGCAAGATAAAGTTGTTTTATGCGAAAACATAGACCTTTATCTTACAGATCAAGTATAATAGTATTAACATTGAATCATCTTGAAGATAGTTTCATCATTGACTGCAACCGAACGCGACGCGCTGTTTGAATGCTGAATGGAGAATGACTGACAGCCGCGAGAGGGAAAAATTTACGTGATCTTGAATTTAATTACTTAAATATTAATTTATATCTCACATAATAGCTTCAGTACACTTATAATAGAGTGCACGAAAACGTTATGGTACTTTAGAATGTTTTTGTGCATTTTGTGGGGCTTAACAATAACACATAATACCACAATATCGGATTTGGATCGGCCTCGTCTGATCGATGTCAGATCGATACCCGATCCCGCAAAAATGGCAGTATCGGAGCGATACCGATCCTGAGTATCGGATCGGGACATCCCTACCGGTAAGCAGCTTTCACAGAAAACTGACTCAATTATCAGATTCTCAGGCGCTTCTTGGTGTCCGTGAGCATCCAAGCTTTTATCAAAAAGAAAAGAAAAAGAAAAAAACAGCAAGCAAGTTGATAGTAACAAATTGGTGTCACCAAACCTAATGAAATGCAATTTACAGTGAAAACAAAACACAACAAACCAAATTTATTTTATCTATTTAATAATCCTTGTCATTACTGTGAACAGCCAAGAATTCTGTGTCCTAAAACTCTTTGTATATAACAGCGAATATGCCATGTATGAGAAGCTACTAAAATCTACTGTCTGCCATGGGCTCTGGTTCTGCGTTCCTGGAATAACAGTGAACAGTAGCCTAAGGAAGGATGATGATGTACAGTACAAGAGGAGGGAAATAAAAAGTACAGAAAATGCAAACCTCATTTCAATTTGGACTTTGTTCATAAATATAACACTGATGGCCTCTCTCTCATCTTGCACCCAACTAGAAGCACGCCACTGTGTGTGGAGATTCAATGCTGTACACTAACGCTGCTTATAACAAATCCTTAATGTGAACAGACATGATACGAGTTAAAAAACAAGTCTCTTAAAGCGCTGCTGATTAAATTGTCAAATTAGGAAAAAATACAAAAGTGTGCAAACACTGATGCTTCACAACAACCAAAGTTTTCCAGCATAATAAGGTGAAAAATGAAATCGATTTCAATAGAACAAGTTACATTTAGAAAAGGGCATGTATTGGTTTGTGTAGACTCATTTTGATATCGATGCGAGTCTCCTTTTGGAAACACCCTAAACGGAACGCAATGGTGACGTACACTAGACCATCAGTTGCGGGAGAATGTACACACATCCTAAATGCGATATGCGAGGTCAGTCGATCGTCTAAACTGTTAAAAGACACCATAGGTCAGGGAAATCTCAGAGAAAGGGGCGAGGGGTGATGGTCATGCAGAGGTGACAGGCACATATATCCCGTCAGATTTGACCGGATCATGCATTTGGCTAGCAGGTGAACCCACACTGAAATGATCATGTGTATGCCCTGAAAAAAACATTCAGATTTAAGGTATTTAGAAATACACAGAAAAAAAAAAACATTTATAAATGGTCAGAATGGCATAATGGAAAACTGTATTGACGCTTAAAAGGTAAAAAAGAAAAAGAAAAAAAAAGACAACCTTAGAGTATCAGTTCCTAAAGGGTCAGAGCTACTTTACAACATATTTTAGTAGTGTAACAAAGGTTATCTGGTGTTTGGCACATGCTGTAACAAACAACACACAAAAAAAGGTTAGTATTACACACATAGTAACAGCCAATTCGTGGTGACTTCCCTTTACTGGAGACATTAAACCGTTAATTATTATTACTGCACACCAACCAGTGCTGGTGTTTTAATGATGTATCATGTGAAATCAGGAACCATCACTGCGTATTTCAAATTCAAACCTAAAAAAAAATAAAAAAAATAATAATAATCATGTCTTGAGAAGGCTTTAGAAGTTCAGCCGAAGCAAAAAGAGGATTTAAAACCGTGAAAATGAATCACATCAACAAGCTACGTAGTCGAGGCACACACAGAAGGAAAGGGGTTCAAAAAAAGGCATCAAAAATACAGCATGCTTTGAAAAGTGCTGACAAATAATAACATTAGGATTATTAAATAATTGGAAAAAAAAGTAGTTGTTTAAAATGTACAAGAAAGCTGAGATGAAGGGTTAGAACACATCAGAAAACACCCAAATTCATAGAAATGTAGAAAACCTCAAGGTACGACCCACTCAGCGAAACCCCGGGCCGTTGTTTAGTCTCAACAGACACGAACCCGCAAAGAGGATCTGGGGCGAATCGTTCGAAAACCTTCTCCCAACCAAAAAAAAAAAAAAAAAAAAAAAGTGAGTAAGAGAGAGCAGATACACACAAAACTCTTTCTGTGAACTTCTCCCGGTTGCTCTCAGGTTTTAGTGTCTTGTGTGGTGCGTATGCAGCGTTAACGTGAGTTTCGGAAACAGGTTGGATCGCGTACCATTTACAGCCGCCTGTCATGGTGTTTTTATAAAGTTGGAACACGGTTATAAGTTTATTGTGAGATGCGCTCAGCAGTCTGCAGGCTGTAAAGAGGCGGAGCATGCGGGGAGTCGTCGGGTCACCAGTAAAATGAGCGGGACAGGAAGTTGGCGGCCGTGCTTAGCCAGGTCACGCCATCTTGCACCGAGCCCAGTCGCGTCACAGCCTTGTGCTGCTCCTGAGACGGGCTCTCGTCCTCGGGCAGATAATCCGGCAAATTCATGTTCTGCTCGACCACCACGTCCGAGTCCTCTTGGAATGGGATTACAATCTGGATGAGAGGGAAAAGAGAATGATGGGAAGAATGACCCATTTTGTTTTAATTGCTAAGCTAGCAAGCAATACAAAATGGAATTAAATATGCAAGCAACAAAAAAAACAAGCAAATAAATTAGGCAAAACAACAAAACAGACGGCTAACCATCTGAGTAAACGTTTTTCTTATATAACAAACTATTAGAGCAGAGCAAATACTGAAATACAAAATATTATACAAATATTCAAAAATTTGTAGGTTATATAACATTAAGATACACGACAATTCAAAAGATTTTCTTTATATACCGGTACACATTTATTCAGCAAGGATGCATTTTTTTTCTTCTTTCCATTCATCTAGTAATCCTGAAAATGCATCAGTTTCCACAAAAATAGTAAGCAATATAATAATAATAATGATAATAACAATAAGTAGAACTTATTCTTGAGCACCAAATCAGCATATTAGATTTATTTCTGAAGGATCATGTGGCTGCTGAAAAATCAGCTTTGCCATTACAGGAATAAATTAGACCTTAAAATATATAGATATATGAGATATATGAGGTTAATACTAATATATTAAGAAAATATTAAGAATATTTTCTTATATTAAGCAAATAAATGTAGACTTGAGGAGAAGAGACTGATCCCAAACTTTTGAATAGTAGTGTTTATACAAAAAAGGTACACTCTTCCCCAACTTCTCAATATGGAATGCATTAAAAAATAAAAAATAACTCTTGTAAAGCAATTAAACAGGGTTTTTTATATCCTCATTAAAATACCTATAGAGTTGGGAGTCAATTCTTTGAGTCAACTATTAAATTGCATTGGTTAAAAACATTGATTCAACTACTTATTTTGAATCACTCAAATATTCAAAAAAGCCCTCATGGCATTTTTAATGTATTCAAATGTTTAAATACAAAAAATATTGGTGCACATGATAAGACAATAATAATAATATTATGGATAACCATCATAATAATGTTATCATTACATACGGTTCTTTAAATTTTGTGAAAAACTGTGTAGAAAACCTAACAATATTTTACTTCTAAGTGGTCAATTTTATCCCTTAAAACTCATCTTTGATAACCAAAATTACATATTTAAAAAACATTCCAGTGAAAAAAATTCATCCCTTAAAATAGCTTAAATGTAACTCATTTAGTACACGCAGACCCATGAATACGCAAATTAGTCCCCGCCTCCACTCACTCACACCAGCTCAGAATACCCGATCCACTCGGTTAACTTTACTGTAGTAAACGCTGCACAATGGCAAGTGGAAATACTGGTTTAATTCAGTGGAAGAGTGAATTATACAGGCTTGTCTACAAGTCGATGTATCAGAAATGGTGATGTGTTTCATGTATCGCTCTCTAACATGTCGGACACATAACGGTAATTCATGATTAACCTTTTACTTGACGACGTTATGTAACAAATGTTACACACAAACCATGTTCACATTCGCCACCTCACAGTCAAGTCAGCTGCCTTCTAACAATCAGTATCCTCAGAAACGCTTTGAACAACTAAGAACGTCAGTGGAGAAAGGCATAGTTCATCATAACATCGTAATATACATCATATACACGATTCACTCGAATAGAATAGCTATATTGCTAAATGTTTCCAATTTTTCATATCAACAAAAAATATAATGAGATAATCTGGCTTCTCGAGACTTCCCTACTTAGCAGCAGTTAATGATATGCTAAAGCCCGCCCCCCTCATGACGGGATTGGTTACAACATATTTGTGAGGTAGAGAACAAGGGCGATTTCAAACTGCGTTTTTGAGACTGTGGCCCTGTCCCAAATGGCGCACTTCATGTGGACTTTCGGTCTCGTGGACTTAAATTGCGCGTGCTCGCCGAGTCTACGAGTCCGTAGGCCGTCCCATTTAGCATTTTAACGCTCTGAAGTGTGCTCAGCAGCGCCCCCTTTGTACCCTTGAAGCGGTCTTCCGCGAACCCCGCATAGATGCAGGCTGCACGCACTTTAACTACCCAGGAATCCTTGCGAAAGGCCAATCAGACAACGGATGGGAGGAGATTTCGCTCACGGACAATTGTTAACATGGCTGACAAGAAAATATTTAAGTGTAATTATCATTATGGTTTTTATGACAAGTTTATACAAACATTATGATCATCGACCAGTGGTTGATGTCTCAAACATAGGCTAATAATAGCGAGCTGAATAATACGTTCGCATTATGATTCATTAAATAAATAGAACAGAATGTCAGGGCTTTACTGAGTCATATGTAAACACAACAACAATAGGCAGCATATTTCCCCGAACCTGTAGCTCTTCCTGTCCATAACAACAATCAGACAGTCTTCCTGTTTCCGGCGTGACAATCGAGTCTGTCCCAAAAATACCTCTCAATGCGCCCTCGCGGACTCGCGCTAAGGGCCCTATAGGTCTGCACTACATGACGTCACCGAAGTGTGGACTCTGAGGAAGTCCACAAGTCCGGAGTGTGCCATTTGGGACAGGGCCTGTCTTTTTTTCACTGTAGTTTTAAGGAGAAATACCCAGCAATGGTGTTACTTATGAATTTGCACATGGTTAGTCTTAAATTATATTAAAAACATATAAACAACATTAAAAGCTTGACTTTCACCACAGGGGGTCTTTTAACATTTGGAATCTACTAAAGAATGGCTGTTTGGTCAAAATTATTACCATTATTTAAACCATTATTATTACCATTATTTAATATCATCATAAGGTTCAAAAGGTTAAGACATTTTATTTTTAGTTATTTCACTCTAGCCCTAATTACTATGTAGCTTTCTCTTTGTGCGTGTTCAAGCAGAAAAAGTTTGATCTACAAGTCGATATCTCAATCAACTGCGCCACCTGCTGGTTGTTAAAGGAAGTGTGTGGTAAAGCAGTGTTCCAGACCGCAGGGCTGACAGCCACCGGAGGTCATGACTGTGCCGCTGCAGGTAGAGATCGCCCTTCCAATTCAACCAGAGAGGACACATCTTTCTTTAATGACCACACACTGCATGCAAGAGAGTGTGTGTGTGTGTGTCTCCAGGGCCCTCTGACGCAAGGTTTCAGGGGGAGAGGGACATCCTGAGTGATCATGTGATGAGGGGAAAATGAGTAACTCTTCTGAAGGGGAGGAATAGCAGGGTTCACCCTATCAGATAGACAGCACCAGCTCCACATGACAAACTGCATTACCCTCGGCTTTCTCACGGTTTTGAGGACAGACGCAGCCGCGACAGCATCAGCTAACATCCTCAGGTAGAGGTAGTCAACAAAACTTAACACAGCTTGAGAAAGGGATAGCTCATCCTAACCTCAACACTGTTATATTTTCTCTCTCGTGTCATTCGAAACTCATTTGATTTTACATGGAATGCATAAGGAGATCAATTTTCAAGATGATTTTTTTCTTCCAGAAAAAGGAAAGTATATAATAACGGAGGCTGTCTAAGCCCCAAAAAGTGACATGAAGACTCATATTTGGTTCAACTATCCATTTTTAGATGTGTTTGTTTGATTCACTCACCTCCGATCCGTCTTCCCCCCTCATTACCTGCTGTGCCTTCATGACTTTGGTTGAAGCTATAGCAGTTCCCAAGGCCTGGGGAATGAAAATAATTGCATGAGAATGCTGAAATGGGTTTTCTAACAGCATCCATAAAGAGTGATTTGTTTCTTCAGAATCATTTCCTTCGAACTGTTGGTTTCAGTGAACTGGTTCAATTGATTTATTATTCTTTTTTACATCACCAGTCAAACATTTTCACAGACGTCCCAACCTGGCATTTTAAATGTATTAAAATATACTATATTTTTTAAAAGTCACTTATGCTCACCAAGGCTGCATTTATTTGTTATGTGACATACAGTAAAAACAGTCATATTGTGAAATATTGTTCGCGCCCGCGCATCCGTGCCGCGCATCCGTGCCGCGCAGCAAGCGCGCTCCACACTCCGCACAAACACTTGCTTGGATATGCGTCAAAACTTGTGTTCATTTGTAATAATCTTAGCCCTCCCTGTATTATTATCGTCTAACCAGTAGGCTATTATGACTGACATTTGACAAATTGCTTTGTTCCTTTTTTGGATAAAAGCATCTTCTAGCCAAAATGTAGGCTAATAATAATAATAACAACATTGATTATTTGCGTTTATAACTATAAATGAGTTCACTTAAGACAGTAATATGTTTATCATAAAATAATGTATTAATGTTTTATTTTTATATAACCTAACATTTAAAGTTTTTGAATTGTTTTTGTTTTAGGCTTGAAGTCTTTTATTGCTTTTTATATTATAGGCTACTGAGCTTTTTCCTTTTAAAAATTGACATTAAAGATACAAGTAAATGTCGTTTTTTAGAAAATTTAAAAAAATTATCAATTTTGAAAAATAAAGTTTAAACATAATGGTATCCATGCAGCCAATTGAGAAATAAAATTTCGTAAAACGGAAAAGTTTTATGTCACTTATTTGATTTTCAATTAAATATCTAAGCATTGTATATAAGGAAAATAAGTCTGTATGTGAATATGGTTTCACCAGTCTAAAAACGAATAA